TTTACTAGCTTCACCTGGCACGCCATTGATCTTCATAGTGTTGCATATCTCATTGAATGTGGTCAGATGCTCATATGGATTTTCATGTGATAATCCATTGAATTGGTTGCTCTTCACCAATTGAATCAAAGCAAGCTTCATCTCCATATTTGCACCGTTAACCCCTGGCCTTGCAATACTATTAAAATGATGAGGGCCAATAACTGTTGCATAATCTGTCAGGGTACGTCTACCATTCTGCTCTTCAGCCATATTTTTTGTTTCCTGATCATATCTTTGAGGTCAAGGTTGTTGAAGAGTCTCAGGAGAAGGGAAAAGTTCTTTGGACGTTATGTTCCTCCTTTTTCTTCCATTATTGTCCTGACCTAGAAGAAGAGGTTTAGAAACTTTCGTGCTTCTAGTCAGAATTGTATCCTGCATACACTAGAGAACAAAACACTAGAGCACCCAATTAGCACCAACAGATAAAAACAAAAATTAAAAAAAATAATAAAAAAAAATTAAAATCTAATTTGTTAAGAATCACACAAAGGTATAGTTTAAACCACGAGTCCCTAGCAACAGCGCCAAAAACTTGTTAACACATCGGCAAATGTACTGAATCGTATCAAGTAATATAAAATGGTAAGACCAAGTATCGTATCCCAAAAGACTCACGACACTAGACAGTCATGTAATACCTTAACTAATTAAGACTTAAGAACAATTTCATTGGTTTAAAATGAAAAATACAAAAAAAGTAAATATGAATGCAATTTGATCAATTGGGCAAAACACAAAAGTGAATGAATGATTTTGATAATATGAGATGAATATGTTGTTGGGGTTTAGGTTTCACCATCCTTACTCTCATGCATATAAGAATTTGTCTTCTTCATTCAATTATTAATGTCACTTTCTAAATTACTTAAAACTCGATCCCTCGGCGAAGAAAGCCTATCTTTAATTCTTAGACCATAATCCCTTACATCCCTAAGAATTAATTTTGCATTAAGAACATAAGCTTAAGACAACCAAACCTTTTATCCCCATCCCTGGGCAATATTTCTTTTGGGAGAAATTCTCTAGATCGTGGTTTCTAGGTATTTTCCAATAACAAAGAAGACCATAAAATCATGCCATGAATGATTAAAACATGTTGAGATTGTTGATAGGGGGAGCACAGGTTTAGCTTAACTCACAATCTCAGTAATATCTGAGTTTTTGATGATGACAACACATAATTAATAACACATGTATATTTTGTGTTACATGTTCTATATTTACATGTTATATGCTTTTGATCAATGTGTTAAATATGTTTAAGCATATATGAGAGCATGATTATGTTGTTCATTGCATATCGTTGTGTTACATATGTGTTTTTATATATGAATGCAGGACATATAATGTTGAAAAGGAAAACCACAAGCACTTATGTTGAACTTTACATGTGTGGCAAAATAACGGTTTTAAGTCGATTACATTATGGGATGAATCGATTAAAACTCGTATCTTTGCACAAACTATTTTCAAGTGTGCTGTGACATTTTTTCAAAGAGAAAGTTTTTCAAAACTATGCTTAACACGGTTGCATAATCGATTACGTGTGTGTTGTATTCGATTAAGATAGTTATTGTTTTGAAATTCTGTTAATGCTTGACATAACTGTCTAACGGTCATATTTTTAATTGTGTTGACCAAGTATTAAATGTTAGTCGACTACATTAATTGCGCATTCAATTCATTGTCGTGATTGCTAATAACTGTTTTAACAGAATTGTTGCATTTGAATGCATTAGTAGCTAAGTCGATTAAATTGCGTCTGAGATGAGTTATTCTATAAATTGATGCAGATTTGAATTCTGTAAGAACTTTTGTAATTCTACCATTTTCATATCTTTTGCAGAAAGCTGTGATCTTTCAGAAAGAAAAGAAAAGCTCCAAGAAAATAGAGTGACCGTGGTGATCAACTACTTGTGATTTCTTGAAGAGCAAGACTATTATGTTTTTTCAAAGGCTGATCAACTTGCACATTCAGGTGTCATTGAGAGATCAGATTCTACAATCTTTTGAAGATTGGTTTGAGGTTCCCTATTGTGAGTACAGGAAGAAGAGCGAGCGATGTTCTTGACTTTGAGAGTGTCTCAAAGGGTTTAGACAGCAGAAGAGGGAATTCTTGTTGCTGGTCTTGTTGTGTACTGCCTATATTTTGATTAGAGGGTTAGAGAGGTGTTTTATATTTTTTACGTGTGGTTGTTGTTAAAATAGAATGGCTTAATTTTCAACACCAAGAGGGGGTGAATTGGTGAAATACAAAAACAATGTTTTCTTTACATCTTTTTCACAAAGTAGATGACTTTAAAATCTTTCTTGAAACACAAAGAAAAAGAATTTTTTAAGTGCAGCGGAAATAAAGTTGATTAAACGCAGTACAGAGTCGATTAAGCAAAAGTGTAGGGATAGAAAAATCAAACACTACTTTTTATACTGGTTCGGCCAAGTCTATGATACAATCATAAACGGTACATATGAACCCACTCATGTTTTGAATGGAAAAGTTGTTTTGAAAATTTTTTTTGAGTGGACTCAAGATGAGAACCGTAGAGCACAGTATGATGTTAAAGTGTGGAATGTAATAGCCTCAGCACTAACAATGGATGAATTTTTCAGGATATCACAATGCAAGACAACAAAAGAAATATGGGAAGTCTTAGAGGTAACTCATGAAGGAACATATGAGGTGAAAAGAGCCAGAAAAAATTCACTCATTCAGGAGTACGAATTATTCAGAATGAAAGCACGAGAGACAATCTATGAAGTCTAGAAAAGATTCACACACATTGTCAACCATCTTATGGCTCTAGGAAAAGTATTTGACAAGGAAGAAATCAACATTAAAATTTTGAAAAGCCTCACTAGGAGCTGACAGCCGAAAGTTGCTGCCATATCAGAATCAAGAGATCTGACCAGCATGAACATGGCAACCTTGTTTGGAAAACTCAGAGAGCATGAGTTAGAACTTGGAAGGCTGAAGGAGGATGAAGAAATTGAAGAAAAAAAATCAATAGCCCTCAAAACCACAAGCCGAAAAGCTTCAAAGACTACTGAACCAGAATCTGACTCAAAGACTGATCTGCATGACAAAGAATTGATGAGTATGCTGGTAAGAAAATTTAGTCGTTTTATGAAAAATAATAGTTCTTCCACTAACAATGCAAGTTTCTCAAGAGGAAGAAAGGAGTCCATAACCATTGTCATCCAATGCTATGAATGTGGAAAAGAAGGACATATCAAGCCTGAGTGTCCAAATCTGAAAACCAAGCAAAAAGGGAACAAAATATTGGTTCAAGAGAAAAGCAGGAAACAAAAGAGTGCATATATTGCTTAGTGATTCAGATTCTTCAAGTGATGAAGACTGCAATGTTGAAGAAGAATCCAACATCTGCTTCATGGCGGGATCTGCAATCAATGATTATGACAGTCATGAGGAATTCGAAAATAAACCTATAGAAGTCAAATATGACATGTTGCGTGATGCATTTCAAGAGGTTCATGCAGAGGTTGTGCGACTACAATATAAGGTCAATCGACTTATATCTGAAAGAAGAGACTTTGAGCACATAATCAACAATCTGGTTGAGGAGAATGAAAGACTGGAAAATAAATTAAATGATGCATTAGAGTCTGCAAAGAAGAGTGATGCTGAGTCAAAACATGTTGAAAAAGAATGCCAGAATTGTCCTGTATTGGTTGAAAAGATTCATTACTTGACCTGTACCTTAGCAAAATTCATACAGGGCAGGGACAATTTAGATGTTGTACTGAAGGCCTCTGGAAGAGTTGTATTCAAACAAGGCATTGGCTACAAAGCTCAGAGTAACAGAACAGATAGAAAGAAATTTGCAGATATCAGTAAGCCTGTTACACATGCATGTTTTTACTGTAATAACATAGGGCACACTGTTAGAAACTGTTACTACAGAAAGGTTGGAGTTCCAAAAGGGAAATATAAGTGGATTCCCAAGCAACATCTATCTGCAACTAACCAGACGGGACCCAAATTCCAATGGTACCAACATCAAAAAATTTAAGTTGTTTTGCAGGAAAGTAGATGCTGTGAAAATGCAGAACTCAAGGATGAACTAACTGGATGATATCAAAGTTCTTGAGTATCTACAAGTGGTAAAAATTATTTTATCACTACATCATGCATAACATTTGTTTGAATGATTGCTTATTGAATACCATCCACCTTCACCTAAACCATTGAAATGCAGCAATCCACCATCAGCATACCATGTATACGCCATTTTAATGGTGTTGCTCAAATTTAATGACAAGCCTCTAATTATACCAATTTTGTAAAAATTAAGATCCAATTAAGACATAAAAAAAGTAATGGACCTATTTAAGATTCTCAACCAAGAAAAGGACATACCGAATAATTAAACTTTTTTATTAAATATGTGATAGCTTCTTTATAATTTAATACTATAAAATTAGGATGTTATAGTAGGAGGATAAAATGAGGAAACAGAAGAAAAAGAAGTAAAAAAACAAATAAGAGGAAGAGAACCATGAACAAAAGATTTTTATGAATATTTTAGTGATAACCATAATTGTTGCTAGTTACCAACTAGTATTGACAGATTTATGGTCATTGATAATTATGAATGAATTCCAAAATTTGTTAGTAAAATTTAGGCTTAAATGCTTACTCGGTCCCTATGTTCAGTGGTAATTTTCAGTTTAGTACCCGGTTTAAAAAGTGTAGACATTGGGACCCTATGTTATCAAAATTGTATAATTGTCCTATCCGTTAAGTTGGTAGGAACGGCGTTAAATGTTAATTGATGTGGGAAAATACATTTCCCATGTGGCAAAGTTTAAATACTTTTATTTATTTACCTTAACCAATTTAATTATTAATTTTCATTCCTTCTCAACCTAACAGAACCAAACCCTCATTTTCTCTCTCTGTTTTTCTCTTTTTCTTGTTTGTGTCAAACATGAGGATGATGACGGGATTCTTGTGGACGGCAAAGTTTGTGGGCCGAATCCCATCGCTGGCAGTGGCGATGAGCCAAAGGTTCACCAAGGCAGGGGCGTCACAGGTGGTGGAGTACGACGTGGCGCTAAAGCACTTCAATGGCCATATCCACAAGATCATTATGAAGAAGGCCACTCTAGACTGGCTACCCTTCGTGCCTGGTTTCTCATTTTGGGTCCCGCCGCGACCATCGCCCACCAACGTCGTCGACCTCGTCCACAAACTCACCCGCGAAGATGATCGTCCCCACGATTTCCCTCTACTCTCCACCCTCCGCGGTTGGCCCTCGTCGAATTTCTTCATCAATGTTGACTACCTTTCTCTCAAAATCTCGTTTTTTGCCCTTTTGTCCAGTGAGTCTTTGGATAAACTATAAAAAATATTTTTTTGCTTTTTGGTTGTATTTTGGGGATTCGGGGAAATTGAGAAAAGGCGTAGGTTTCTTGGTGTGGTTTTTCCTTATTGATTGATTTCGTCATTTGGGGATGGTGTTTGTTTCGGATCTAGGAAAATTGAGGTATTAACCATCTCTTCCGTAGAAACTAGCTGGCGCAACAATGCAAGCTTCCCCTGTGCATTCCTCTAACCCTTCAAATCAAGGAAATCATAGGAACGAAATCTACGAACGAGCTCGACAAACCAGATCGGAGACAACAACAACCTGTAGAAAACCATAACTACATCACAAGGTCAGGGAGAATGAAGCAGTGCCAAGATTTCCATGGATAACAAAGGAGCAACCCGCATCTCCACCGTAGCTCCACCATTGTAGAACGAAGAGAAAAGGAAATTGGGGATTGAGGTTTGCAAACCCGCGAGAGAAAGAGAACAAGAATTGGGGATTTATTTCCCCAATTAAAAACCCTAAACTTTCAATATACACATAACCCAAACTTTGCCTGCCATGTCAATTGAATTTAGGCCAACTAAATGCCAGGTCAACATTTCTTGCACAACTCACATCCACAGTAACTTCAACGTTATCAATTTTAACATCGTTAAACGGATATAACTGAAGTCAAACAATTTTGATAACATAGGGACCCAATGTCTATACTTTTAAAACCAGGTACTAAACTGAAAATTACCACTGACCATAGGGACCAAGTAAGCATTTAAGCCTAAAATTTATTGACGATCACTTTATCAACTAATTTTTTGTCTTCAATAATTTATTAATCAAATTGAACTATCAACATTTTTTTCTATTACTAACCGATTGTATATGTCGATAATACATGATTCGTGAGTAATGTACAACTTTATTGTAATGTGGGGTGCATGGTGAATCATCAACATTTTACTAATATTTCTTTTGTTGATAAATGATATAGATGAGTCAAAATGAGTTCAAATCTAGGTCAATTTGACTTAGGACCAATTTGAATTAGATAAATTTAAAAAAAAAACATAGTTTTTAAATGTACATTAAATTGAACTTCACTTACTTAACTTGCAAGTTAAACATAACCAAATTGAATTAAGTTATAACCCACTAACAACTTTATCATATTTTATCTTTTTGGTCCATAACTTTTTTTTATTATAATTATTTATTATGTAAATTCAAAAATTAATATTTTTAATTATTAGAATGTTATTTAATAATATTTGAATGGTTTAGTGTTTAATTTATTTTTATCCCATAAATCGACACTGAAAGCTCGATGAACCTTAAAATTGATGAGAAGATGAGATGGTCTTAAAGCTCGGTAAACCTTAAAATTGTTGAGAAGATGAGATAGTCTTTTACTATATGTTTTTTCATTCTTGAGAATCTTTTTATAAGTTGGAGTTTTCATTATTAAATTCTATCACTCAAGA